GCTGTTCAATAAAAGAACTCCTCCTTAAATTTGACTTGTCTGGCAGTATAGTCTTTGAAAGATTCCTGGGCATAACAGTGAAACAGAAAATAGATAAGCAGTAGAGAACATCAATAGGATTATATCTAATTATACCTAAGGCAAAAGTTGGCTTTTTGAAAGTTTTATGAAATAAATTTGATAACCCTCTTGGCAAGACTGATGGGAAAAAATGAGAAAAACACAAATTATTAATATGTGAAATGAAAAGGGGGATACAGCTTCACGTTTATAGACACTAAAAGGACCATACAAGATATTTTGAGCAACTTTATGACAATAAATTTGACACCATAGATGAAAAGCCAAATTCTCTGTAAAACTACAATTGTCCAAAATAATGTAAGAAGAATCTATTTGTGTGTGTGTGGTTTAATAAAAGATGCACTTAAACACTCCTTGATGTGGGTGGTTTGCTTCTGTAGAAAACAGCTTCAAAACATTTACTAAAGGTTGTTGCTTTGCTTCTTTTTAGTCAAGTTTTCTTTTCTTTCTGACAGTATCAGTTTTTATATCCAATCCTACAGTGTGGGAATCTAGGTCACCAAGCTTACTAGAATTTTAGATGAAAGAAAGATCCAGTACCTGAAGACATTTTTATAAGTGAAATGATAAGCTTTAGAGTTTGACCTTTGTGACTTGTTTCTGCTCTTGGGAACCACTCCTCCCTAGTTTTGCTTACTTCTTGGTTCTATAAAAGTAGTATTAAGTAACTTAGCAGAATTAACCATTAACTGAAAATACTGATTTTATTTTTCACATACTTAATTTTATTTATTTATTTATTTATTTTTGAGACAGAGTTTCACTCAGTCACCCTGGGTAGAGTGCCATGGTGTCATCATACCTCACAGTATCTCAAACTCTTGGGCTCAAGAGATCTCTTGCCTCAGCCCCCTGAGTAGCTGGGACTATAGGCATCTGCCTTAAAATCTGGCTAGTTTTTCTTTTCTTTTTTTTTGAGACAGAGTCTCACTATATTGCCCTTGGTAGAGTGCTGTGGTGTCACAGGTCACAGCAACCTCAAACTCTTGGGCTTAAACAATTTCCTTGCCTCAGCCTCCCAAGTAGCTGGTAGTTTTTCTATTTTTAGTAGACACGGGTCTTGCTTTGCTCAGGCTGGTCTTAAACTCCTGAGCTCAAATGATCCACCTACCTCAGCCTTCTGGAGTGCTAGGATTACAGATGTGAGCCACCATGCACAGCCTATTTTCACATATTTTTTAACACCTTCCTGCAGAGGCATTTGTGTTGCTAGAATCATAATAAAATTTCCTGGGACTGGGACTTCCTATTATGATGCTGTGTGTTACCTTGCGCAGTGGTCCATGCTGTTTTCTGTACTTCTTGTTCCAAGATATTCCTATCCTTTTCAAGAGTTTCTGGCCCAGCTGATCAACAGTAATTAGATTATTCTCTTCCTTATGAAAGAAATACAAAGTCACTTAAGAAAATCTGATGAGGAATAATTGTGACACTTACAAATTCAAAGAGACCAACTGGATTATATCTAATTAAACATGTCTAGAACAGCAAACATGTAAGTAGATTAATCATAATTATTTCATCGCAAATTTTTTTTAAGAAGTAGATTAAGCCTCAGTTTAGAAGATTTGGATTTCTGCCACTTTTCATGTGTCATAATTTAACCATTTAAATAGCAATATCCAAAGAACAGCCTGAGCCTTGGCAAATTCCTGCTATTATATGGAATTTTAGGAAGAAATACTTAAATGCCAAAAGGAAAGATTAAGGTCTTATCTGAATATTTCTAAGTAGAAACAACTTCTAGAAGGGGGTAAGATGTGGCTGCTATAGGCTGAATTATATCTCCCCAAAATTAATATGTTGGACCCTTAACTCACAATACTTCAGAATGTGACTATAATTGGGCCTTTGAAGAAGCGATTAAATTAAAATGAGGCTGTTTTTCATTGTAGGGTATGCCTTAAGCCAATCTGACTGGTGTGAGGACACAGCACGAAGGCAGTGTCCCTTCCCACATGCAAGCCAAGGAGGGAAGGCTTAGTTAAATCTGCTGACAGTTTGATCTTGGACTTCCAGCCTTTAAAGCTGTCATAAAATCAATTTCTGATGTCTAAGCTACCCAGTCTATAGCATTTTGTTATGGCAGCTCTATAAAACTAATACAGTGGCCACAGGTCAACACAGTTAAAGTACTCAGCACAGGTCCCTAACGGAAAGTATAAAAAGATCACTTACTGAGAATGAATGAATAAATGAAAGGAGACTTAACATCTTTAAAACAGGGGACTAAATAAACATTAAAAGTCATATATATGAGGTAAAATTCTGTTTAAAATGACAACAATAACCAAAAAAAAAAAAAAAATCATAACCTAGCCCCAATATGTGTACACAAAATAGAATGCAAAAAATATAATCAAAGTATTAACAATGACTCTTGGTATTTTCATTTTCTTTATATATTTTCTGGGGTTTTTTTCCTTTGAATTTTTTTACCATGACAATATATTTCTTTTATAACCAGAAAATCCCCAATAAAAAATTTTAAATTGTAGACATGAAGACTGTCCTAAAGGAAAAAGACTATGAATGGTAACCATACCCTATCTGCCAAATTAATTTCTTGTGTGTGTGATACACATGTACACACAAAGACATACACACACTCACTACCTGTAATAAGATAGCTTTGAGAATCACCAGTGGATCATCAATCTCTCCTTCATTCTGAAGATCTTTCAAATTCACATCTGGCTTACAGTTTTCCTCCTAAGAAGGAAAACAATAAAAGAGTTCTATCATTAATCCCCTAAGAAGTAATTAACAAATTAAAATGTCCCCTCAAACACCAACCATAAATGGGGTCCCTTGGCTACCTAGACTCCTGCCTGGCTGAGGACACATTCTAGGGTTCTCAGAATCCCTAATTCTGGTTCACAATTTTCTGAAACAACTTACAGAACCCAGGAGCTTATATTTACATTACAGTTTATGATAAAGGATATGCATGAATAGCCAGAGAAGAGATACATGGGGCAAGGTCTCGAAGGGTCCAGAGTTCAAGAGACCTTGCTCCCCATGGAGCTGGGGTGGCTACCCTCCAGCATTAAGATGAGTTCACCCAGCCCACAAACTCCCCAAACCTTGTTTTCCAGGAGATTTTACTGGCGTTTCATCACAGAGGTATGACTGATTAAATCATGGGTCATTGGTGGCCGAACTCAATCTCTTGTCCCTCTCCATTCCCCAAGGTCCAGAAGTTTCAACCCCTTCTCCAACATGACTGGTGCCTCTGGCCACTAGCCCCATCTTGAGGTATCTAGGAGTGATCTCATTAGCATCAACTCAAATATGGTGAAAAGGGGCTCCTTATGTTATGAATAACAAAAGACACTTCCACCACTCAGAAAATTCCAAAGAGCTCTGTGCTAGGAACCACCACTGGGGACAGAGACCAAATATATTCTTTTTATTAAACTGTACAATGTATGAGGGTTTAGTGAGATTACTGTTGTTAGTATATACATTTTAAAATTTACATAATAAAATATATATTTTAGTTTATAAAATCAATATAGTAAAGATAATTGCATTTCAACACTGTAGTCACAAACAGTCCAAAAAACACAAAGTACAGGCATATTCCCACAGAATATTTCCTAGGTAAACATTGTTTTTGATAGAACACAGTTTGACTTTTTTAAATTCAAACTTACAAAGGATATATATATCTCAATGCATTCCAAACACAACTGATAGAATGGCAGAAATATAGAAGGCTCTGGTCACAGGGTATGTTAAAAAAAAAAAAAAAGAAAAAGAAATACAAAAGATGTTTTGAAAACCAAGTTGAGTGTTAACAAAGGGAACATTGGCATCAAGAAAAACCACATTACTACCTGAGAGCAACTATTCACCAACAGCCATATTAAGTGTTTCATAATCAGAAAGCTATGCTTTAAGCACCTTACACCCTAACTGGTGATTTGTGACTTATGTATAGACATTTTATTGTGTTTTAGTTACATTTTAGAAAACTGGTTCAGAGTTTGGGGTTGATATGTTATAATTATAGTATCATAGGAACCAGAGTCAGTTAGTAATTCCCTCAGAACATCTATCTATAAGTTCTTAAAGAAAATTATAAAACTTTTTAATAAAACATTAAAAGAGCTTTAAAAACTGAAAGATACATCTCGTTTACATAAGAAGACTCGAGATCTATATGCATGTGTACACACACACACACACACACACACACACGTTTAAGAATGCTGACTAGGTGATTATAGCACTGTATGCTGAAATAAGAATCCACGAAGGCGCAACATTCCTGAAGAATAACCACATGGAAGACTAGCCCTACCAGATATTATGGCTCCTTACATAAAGCCAGGGAAATTAATGAAGTGATATTTGCCCAAGAGTAGGAAAAAAGAACAACAGAATAGAGAACTGAAAAACAGAATCACTAAAATGTACAAGTGACATAACAGAACTGGCCCAGTAGACTGGAGGAGAAATATGGATTATTCAGCGGATGGTAATAGGTGATTTTCCCAAATACAACAAAAAAAGAAAATTTACTACACCATTCAAAGGAAATCATTCTAGGAAGACTAAAATTTTAAATACAATTCAAGTAGTGGTTATTAAACACCATTTTCTTTTTCTTTTTTGAGAGAGAGTCTTGCTTTGTCACCCTTGGTATAGTGCCCTGGTGTCATAGCTCACAGCAACCTTAAACTCTTGGGCTCAAGCAATCTACCCACCTTGGCTTCTGGAAGTGCTAGGATTATAGGCATGAGCCACCACGCCTGGCCCATGAGAATCATTTTAAAGAGCTACCACAAAAGACTTGACTTTGCAGTTACTGTGTATTAAATAGGACAAAATTCACCTTGGTTTTAAATCCTACTGGAAAAGTTATAGGCATGGAATTTATTGTTTTTATTACATTTTCACCTATAATATGTAATATGCAGAATACAAAATTGTTATCATATGATATTCAAATCAATGCTCATTTTATTTGTCAGCAAAAATTCAGTAATTGTCAGCTATAGGAACAGTGCCATCTCTGTGTCATAATGAAGTGAAAACTGAGAAATGGTCCCATATTAAAGGACACTTAAGTGATAGCTAACTAAATATAATGGATGATGGTACTGGACTTGACACTCAAGTGGGGAAAAAAATTGCCAAAAAGAATGTGATTTGCATAACCGGTGGAATCTGAATATACCTAAATATTAGACAACAGTATTAGACAATGTTAGATGGTGTTGATTTTGACTAATACTTACATAAGATAATATCCTTGGTTTTAGAAGATAAACACTGAAGTACTTAGGGGTAAAGGGACCTGATGTCTTCATTTTAATTTCAAATGGCTCAGCATTAATAATGATCATGTTAATAATGTGTATGTGTCTGTGTATGCACACATACAAATGTGGCAAAATGTTAACAGCTAGAGAATCTAGGTAAAGGGTATACAGGAAGTATTGTTACTATTCTAGTAATTTTTCAGCACATCTGAAATTATTTGGAAACAAAAATTTAAAACTTGTATCTATATTAATTTTCAGTACTTATCAAAGTTTTCTACAGAGTGAGTATAAGATATATGGTAAAAGATTATCCTCAACAAAATAACAGAAACAGAAATGCAAAGAGATTGCAAAGATATAAGTGAATTTCTATACTTACTTGAAATTGCCAGTTTCCCAAATGATCGACATCTTTAATATATACATGATAATGCCCTCCATAGCAGCCACCTTTGTGTATAATAACTGAGAAGAGGTCATATATATATTCTAAGTCATCCAATTCACTCTAAAAGAAAAAATAACATAAGCATTGATATAGTTTATATAACATGGTAAAACACATAATCAAAATCATAATTAACTGAAATTAATAAGAAACTTCATTGTTGGCTCGGCGCCTGTGGCTCAAGTGGCTAAGGCGCCAGCCACATACACCTAAGGTGGCAGGTTTGAATCCAGCCTCAGCCCGCCAAACAACAATGACGGCTGCAACCAAAAAATAGCCGGGTGTTGTGGTGGGCGCCTGTGGTCCCAGCTACTTGGGAGGCTGAGGCAAGAGACTTGCTTGAGCCCAGGAGATGGAGGTTGCTGTGACCTGTGATGCCAGAGCACTCTACCCAGGGGGACAGCTTGAGGCTCTGTCTCAAAAAAAAAAAAAGAAACTTCATTGTTTATTATTGTTATTAAAAGGGAAATAAAGATGAATTTAAATAACTGGCTCTAAAGTTAAATTTTTTTTTTTATTCCTTTCTTTTTTTGAGACAGTCTTGCTGTGTTACCTGGACTAGAATGCTGTGGCATCAGCCTAGCTCACAGCAACTTCAAACTCGTGGGCTCAAGCAACTCTTGCCTCAGCCTCCTGAGTAGCTGGGACTATAGGTACACACCACGATGCCCAGCTAATTTTTCTATTTTTAGTAGAGATGGAATCTTGATTTGCTTAGGCTGATCTTGAACTCCCGACCTCAAGTAATCCCAGAGGTCTCCCTGAGCAATCCCACCTCGGCCTCCCAGAGTGCTAGCATTAGAGGTAAGTCACTGTGCCCAGCCTAAATTTTAAACTTCTTAATTCATTAACCTAATATCAATTCTATTACACCAATCAAACCCTGCCTCTTAGTTAAACATGAACATATGTATCTAAAAGAGATATTATTTTTACATACTTTGGTTAAAATCATTACCCTATTGGTGCCTCTGTTGTAGATAGTTTTAGCAAGAGAAACCTATCTTTGCGTCATACCTCTTAGCTGCTTTATACGTATGCTCTTTACCTGTTTAAACTGTCCTATATCCTAACTATTTTGTGCCACAAAGTCAAAGCCAGATCAACTGTCACCACTCATGACACTTCCACCCTCTGCATAGAGAAGGAACTTAGCAATTATGAAAACCAGCTGGTCTTATTTAGAGGCAGTTTCGTGGAATGAAGAGGTTCTTTCCTGCTTTGTTAATTCTATGATCATCCTTTTCTATAATTATTATGTTCTATAATTATGAGTGACTCAACTGATAAAGTTTTACACTAGCAGTAAAATGAAACAAAAAATCACTTTAGATAAGAGATACTTTAAAGATGTTTATTTAAACTCCCTAGCCAGATATGGTGCTGCACCTCCATAGTCCCAGCTACTCAGGAGCCTGAGGTGGAAGAGCGCTTGAGCCCAGGAGTTCAAAGCTACAGTGAGCGATGACTGTATCACTGCAATCCAGCCTGGGCAATGATTTTAAAACTTTACAATTTTTTTTAAGTTTATTTAAATTCCCGATACAAAAGAAAAAAGAAGCCTGAGTTTTCAGATTTGAGGAGTCTGAACTACACAATCTAAGCCCCTTTGGGTTTTGACGACTAAACTCAGTGTTCATCTGTGATGTTAAATGTATGTGTCGGTGCCACTTGAGGGATGCCAGTTATTTGAAGGATTTGCTTTTAAAAACTATACTTTTAAAATTATACATTTAAGTGTGAAAAATTTGAAATGTTTGGTTCAGGTGGAAGACGAGAAGTGTACACAAAGATGCAAAGTGGCATTTTTCTCTATTATTACAGAAATCCAAAAGCAAAATTAATGTGGATTCCTAGATAAGTGCTCAACTGCTTTACTTATTCCAGTTTGGTTGTATCAAAGTATATTAAAATCATGTGACAAACTATCTTGTATAAAAGAAGGGGCACTAACTAACTCTGGGAAAATTATTCATTCTGAGTGTGCCAATAACAGGTTTAGTGTCAATAAAACTTTAGAACCTTTGAGCGACAATTTAAACAATAAAACAAAAACCAAAACGCTCAGGAGTTAGGTTTGAAGTAGAAAAGAGTCATGTGTGAAGAGTCTGAATTTAAGAAAATTTACAAAAATGTTATTATTTTAACATAGAAATTTAATAGCTAGCTAATAAATATTCTACTCTTAATAAACATAAAAAGTGGTTTGTGACAAGAAACAGAGTATCACACTCCAATCTTGGCACTGAATATAACGACACTATGTATAAAAATGTTTGAAAGTGCGTAACAAAGTGGGTTGATTTTATAATTAATTCATTCTCATAACTTTTTATTTCCTATTTCTTAAGGATTACACATTATAGACTAGTGTAGTTCACTCACGTCTTCACTTTCTAGATGCATAATTCATGATTATATCTAAAATAAACAAAATGCAAATAGCAAGGTACCAATTAATGGTAACTTTCCTAAATGCAGGGCTATTTCTTTTTTTTTTTAATTTTTATTTTTTTTAATTAAATGATAGCTGTATACATTAATGCAAACACGGGGTACAGTGTAGTGTTTTCATATACAATTTGAAATACTTTCATCAAGCTGGTTAACATAGACTTCATGTCATTTGCTTAGTCATTGTGTCAAAACATTTATATTCTAGTTCTAGAAAAGTTTAGGGCTATTTCTAATTTTGTCCTTGAGCTTTCAAAGATTTTAAAGCAGAGAACTGAAAATTTGGAAATTTGAACGGATTATAAATAAATCAGTGGTTCTCAACAAGGGGTGATTTTGCCCACCCTGCCCTCTGCCTCCTCTGAAGACATTCTCCTTCACAGAGGCTGGGCATGCTGCCAGCTTTCCCACAGTGCCTGCAATAGTCTCCCACAACAGAGAATAATTTCACTTAAAATATCAATAGTGTCAAGGTTGAAAGATTTTGCCATAGCCAACTGAAAATCAGGTAAATAAAAGATTCAGTCTTGGAAAGGGAAAAGGAAGAATTTAAGAGTAAAACAGTTCAAACCTGTTCACAGAAAGGCTTGAGATTGATCCGGAGAGGGAACGTATAACAGCTAGTTTCCTTGTATCGTTCACATTTCACAAAATCAAAATTAAATCTTAGTAATGAAACAGTAAGAAAGGGAGGCAGCTTACGTAATTTGGCCGACTGTTAAGAGAAAAATATACAGTGCTTTTTAAAAACAGAGTTATACAAAGGGATACATAATGTTTCTTGGAGTAGGAAGAAACAATCAATAACTTATGACAGTTCAAAGAGAAAAATGTCCTTAGATCACATAAATTTATTATTATGGATGCAACGTAACTTGTGATATAAACTTATCTATTTCATGAGTCTGAAGTTGGCATCACTCATGTATGTTCACAACTAAAAATCTACAAACCTATTTTATATTTTTAGTGTTGATATCCTAAATAACTATTTCATGGGCATATTCCCTTTTTAATAGTGTTCATTTCCTGCCCAATTCCTGGTCTTTTTCTTGGTGTCTCCATATTCAGTTTTTTTTATTTAGTGAAGAACTGGAGCTCTTAACCTGGTACCTGGGAACCTGTTTCAAAGGATCTGAGCCCATGAAATGATACAAAAATTTTATGTTCATATTTACTTTTCTGGGGAGAAGAGCCATAGCTTTCATTAGACTTTCAAAAGGACTCTAACTCCTCAAAAGTTAAGAAGATCTATTGATTGGGGTATCACAGTCACTGTTCTTAAATTTGAAAGCAGACAAGATATTTTTGTTTAAGAGTCATCAGTGTCCCTATCCCTCTTGGATTAATGATCTGCGGGGAGAAAAAAAAAGTCCTTCTCCCATGTATAAAATTATCCATAGTCATATATATCTAACATCACTAAAATATATTTGAAATAACAGTTCCTTAAATCTAGTAGGTAAAAAAAGTTAAGCAACTCCCCCTCTCCCCAGCAATATAACAACATGGTAGATTTTCGGACAAGCTCTAAAAATATGCATTAAAAAACTGAGCAACTCAACTATAATTTGTTTGAAAAGAGATGACTGAGGACAAGAAAATCTGCTTTTATTTAGGTAGCTCAGCCAAACTACACTTAGAATGCAACTAATCTGATGCAACTGGAATAGAATGCAATTTTAAAAGTATCTAGATCAAAAAATTTCCACTGGAAAAGAATTAAACAAATGGTATAAAAGGTACATAAAGCAACTGCATTTGGTTAGCAAGAGGTTTTTATTTTACTAATGTACACATTAAGTCTAACCAAAAACAAAGAATGTATAAGTATCTAAGACTTTTCCAAACTTTGAAATTTATACCTATTCATTAGATTGTAGTCTTAACAAGGTGAAATAGAAAATAATAAGTGAATGATAAATATTTCTCTTTGAATTTCATAAGGGGAAAAGGCTAGATGGAAATATATATTAAACAGTATAAAATTTACCCTGGTTTTAAATCTTATTGTGAAAACTACAGGCATTGAGTTTATTGTTCTTATTATACTATCTTCATCTATAAACTCCAGGATACAAAATCAGTATCATGTATTATCTATTATAGATCAGTGCTCATTTATTTGTTGAAAAAACTCAATAATTGCCAGCTATAGGAAGAGTGCTATCCCTTCGACATAATGGAGTCACTGCATAAACATGCCCTTTGTGGTAGCCGTTTGAGAAAGCGCTCAGTCACCACTGAGTGAACTGAGCTCAAGCTGATGATGTGTATGAACAGCATGCCAGGTCATCCAGCTGCAGTGGGGAGTCACTGCTGCAGACAAGAAAGACAGAAGCAAGGCTGATGCCACATTGGCCACAGGTACAAAGAGCTGAGAAGGACGGCCACAGAGGGGTAGAGACAGTACATCCACGTCAGAGGAAAGAGAAATGGCGTTTGTACACAGTAATGTACACTGAATTGTATACGTATACATCTACATATGCAGACACAGAGACATTTCTAAATTATCTATAAGTCATTTTTATATTGATATTAATGAATTATTTGTATTTAGCAATTTATTAGCATTGGTAATGCTTTGGGTAGAAATTAACTGTGTAAGACATATATTAAAGAACAATTCCATAGTGAAAAATCACACAGAATTGTGAAAGAGTGGTGAAAAAGAAATATAAATGGATGGTTGCAGGAAGATAAAGTGAAAAAAAATCTTTACAGAATGTTTTTCTACAATCTGTCCCAAAGAGTTATTCAGATAGATGCCACAGTCTCTTAGAACAAAAATACAAGATAACTCTGGATCAAAGGACTCAATCAGTAAAGCTCAGAGACCTTACATCAAAACTAGGATAAAACACCAACATGTGGCTGATTTTCAGAAATGCCAAAGTACTGATATAATAAATCAATGCCACGTCATAAAGGAGCTGGAATGTCTAAAATTTATAATGCATGAAAGTAACATTGGGGAAGTGTCCCATTAACCTAAATGGCAATTGTCTCTCATTTCTCTTCTTTCTTGGAATCGAAAATAACTATGAATTATATCTGTAGGAATGGCTATTTATAATATAAACATAATGAACAAATTTGAGAAATATCAGAATTCTATGCTCATTGATTTGCTTAATTTTTCTCTCTTGGCCCTCACATAGCAAAAGAAATCAGTAGCTTTAACCTTATCTTCCTTTTATCTTGTATTTTGCTTTGCTGTGCAGCAAGAAAACCATTGGTGTTCTCTGTTAAGTTGCTTACTTATTAAATATTCCTGCCTGATGAACGAGCAAAAGGCATCCTAGATTTGCCAGAGTGAGGGAGGACATGTATCAAGATGCAAAATAACTGTGTATTAAGAAAAATGCAGAGAGCCATCTATCTTCATAGTAGTCAACAAAGAAAGGAAAAGATCAACAAGCTTCTCAGGTGGCAGAAATAAAAATATACAGTCTTTTCACAATAGTAATTTGCAAAAAGCAGGATATGGGGAGTTTACCAAAAAAGGCATACTTAAAAAACACTGAGGTATTAATTTTTCCTGGGAGAAAAGGAAGTTGAGAGAACTGTTGGGTTGAAAGCTTAAAAAAAATCTCTATTGTAAAAAATGAATCAGATAATAATGTAAATGTCTCTTCAACCCTTAGTTAAGAGCTTCAAGTGTCTCCTTCAGACTTTCTCATACACACTGACTTCAGCTGGCGGACCTCCCTGCTGGTAGTACTGAGTAGTTAGTATGCCCTAAGTAGGGACCCTGGGAAAAGGCAGGTATCTATCTTTACCTTTGCTGCTTTAACCAGCCTGTCACAAGTTCCACAATGGTACAAGTTGTCACAGTCAAACACTTCCTCTTCTACATACATGTTCCAGAGTGCATCTTCCAAACCAGACACATTTTTGACTGCTACTGTTAGATCTAAGAAGTCTTCCTGAAATATACATGAATACAACATTGAAGACAACAAACAATTCACAGAGGTTTACAAAGACATCACCAGCTCACACATATATTGGGAATAATCAGATATATTTTTTCTAAAACATTGTACATATGAAGACGTGGATCTCCTGATCAGACAACATGTTCCTAACATTAAAATATTCTTCCTTCTAAATCAAACTATAATTTAGCTTAAAATATATCAGAAAAATGTATAACAGAAGAAGTTTATGAGTCTACTATAGTTACAATAAGCCTATTTTATGACAAAATCATGTAACCACAATAAAACACATAATCTGGATTTAGAACAATACATACATAAGGCTAATAGCACAGTTTTACTCTCTATACTAGATATGAGAGCAAGGGCAGGGCTGAATTTTTTAATGTAAACTCCATTTCTTCATATACTTTTGTTTAAAATATACTGAAGAAGTTATTAGAAAAAATTACTTTGAGCCAGAAGAAAAAGGTATTTCTATGAAAATTAAGAGGAGGTTATTTTGCAAAAAGGGAGTCTATCAATCCTACTATAAGTACATTTAAACTATAATATATCTCTAGTAATATTATTACAATTTGGAAAGTCAAAATAAGATTAATAGTTCTGTGTGTGTGCAATAGTATTATTTTAAGGAATTAAGGAGAATGGATGATAATAGGGCATTAGTTAGTTCATGGTAGAAACCTTAATGAAAGTAACACATGCAAAAAGTTAATGTCTTTAATTTATAGTGTGCCTTATATACATTATTTTAAAATTACTTTGTGAATTATTATATCATAGCTAAGTCAATCACAGGAATTCAAAGACAGATACAGCATCTTAATTACTATTTATTTCCAAACTGGGCTGACCCAGAAAGCTTCTATTTGCACAGCCTATAGGGCCAAGAAACATTTTTTTTATCCCCAATTCTTTCTTACAAAATAACAAAGAAGAAAAAACATATAATCCCCAAATAGCAATTAACACATTCAGAAAATAGAATTTAATTTTCTACTCATACAGTCAAACACAGAAACTTTCTTCAATTCTTGACACAATAGGAGATTTTTATTAAGGGATTATTGTTCAATGATGAAACCACTGGCCATACTAAGATTTGTAGGGGCAAACATATTATTATACTTACATGAGCAAATTTCCAATATCTAATTTCCAGTTAGATTAAATGGGTAGTCTGTATCATTACAAAGAACTGAAGGTTATACTAATTAAAACAGGTTTACAATAGCTTTATGTATAATATATATGGTTTATATAAACTATGTGCTGGTTTGTATTGTGTATTGAGCACATACACATAAATGATCTTTCTAAAGGAAAGTAATAAACTAAATCTAATATTTAATTGCAGATGTTTGTCAATTTAAACATTCCTCAGTCTTCTTTATTTTTATTATTTCCCTAATTAACTTTCTTGACAATATTCCAACCATGACGACACTGGCTTCTCTCATGAGGCTACAGTCTTCTCTTTGTAAATATCCCCCAAATTCATTTCCAAATATTAGAATATTGAATAAAAGATTAAGTTTCAAGATGTTTGCTTCTTTCAGTTTACGTGGAGAACTCTAGACTATACGCTCGTGACTTAGGTGTACAGTAAAAGACAAAATGCAATAAAATATTTCTAGTAATAAATTCTTTAATCTAATGGTATTACAGCACACAGGTTTAAGTACAGGAATTATAATTTACTACATAACTTATAACTGAAATACTCCAGCATATTCACCTGCTTCTCACTGACGTTCTTACATTCTTTACAAATAATCTGGTTAACAGTGGTTCCATGATACAGACGATTGATGAGGTCATGGCCAGAGGTCCCGACTAAAGAAGTTTCCAAAGCACTGAAGAGAATTCGATTCAGTTCTTGAACATCATGTTGCCTCATCTCCTATAAAACAGGTAACTTTTAAATGTAGTCATCTGCTTCAGATTTTTAAAAACATTAAAAAAGAATACTAGTTAACAAAACACAAGATTTGCCAAGCATCCAAGATAAGCCTTGATAAGTATGACTACACAAACAAGCTAAGAGCAGGTTAAGAGCTCACCACCTATTTTTATTTATCCTGGAAAATGAAAATATGAACAAGCAGTGTGCCCATATAACTCAACTCCCCTTACAACCAGAAAATGCATTTATTCTTTTTTTTTTTTTTTTTTTTAAGACAGAGTCTCACTATGTTGCCCTTGGTAGAGTGCTGTGGCATCACAGCTCATAGCAATCTCAGACTTTTGGTCTTAAGCAATTCTCTTGCCTCAGCCTCCCAAGTAGCTGGGACTACAGGTGCCCACCACAATGCCCAGCTATTTTTTTTGGTTGCAATTGTTTAGCTGACCCAGGCCGGGTTCGAACCCTCCACCCTTGGTGTATGCGGCTGGTTCTGTAACCACTGTATTATGGGTGCCAAGCCAATGCATTTATTCTTGTGGAAAACCATACGTTTGCTAAGCCAGAGAAAGGAGAGAGGGGGAAGGAACAACAGCCATAGATTAGCATCTAAAAGCAGGCGCTGTCTGCACACGAAAAGTTCACTTAGTCGTGAGTGCAAGTCTTAATTAGCAATGTTAGAAAAGCAGTAGCATTTATTATTTGGACAAATAAACTACTAAAATTAGACTAACGGCATTACTGAGAAAAGCTCGTGACGGAACTTGCTTTCCTTTATGAGTCACATAGCTGTGTGTGAACTTCTTATTTATAAACCAAAGTGCAGGGGGGCACCACCACTTAGGCATGGAGAAGAGGAGGAAGAGCAGTGGAGGGGATGTTGAGGTGACAGCCCCAGAACCAGGAGAAGCCAGGGCTTTAAGGGGGGTGGTGAGTGCCACCAAGAGCCCCTTCAGCTGAGAAGAGAGCACACTCCTTGACTCAGCACATGGACGTCACTGTTGACTTGGACAAGGAAAGCATAAAAGAGGTCGAGGAACAAATGGAGGGCACAGAAGTAGAGGCAGTGAGGCAGCGAAGACAATTTAAAAATAAGTTTATTGTGAAGAGTAGCAGATAGAGTCGATGAAAGCTGGAGCACGATGTGGGACTTGGGATCTGTTTTGTCTTTCAAAATGTAAGACACGAGAGAATATAAATTTCTCTAGGATCACTGTTTCTGACAGGGCTGAAAACTCGTGGAAGTCTTCAAACTCTCTTTCTGAACACCCTACATTTGGCAAAGGTACCTCACAAATTTTTCTACTACCACTGCAGATCCAGTCCTGGAGAATTACCTGTAGATTTTATTTAGAAAAGATATAATAAAAAATGTTTTCATAACTTCAAGTAGTATGAAATCAGCAACTCAGTGGAAACTCATTATCAAAAAAGAAAGAGAAACCCATCAACTGATAACTAGATTAAAAAAATACTGATATGGCATATTCATCTAACAGAATCTTATCTGTTAGTAGAAAGGAAGGAAATAGCCACACGTAGTACAACATAAATGAATCCTAAAAACATTAAATGAAAGCAGCCAGTCACAAAGGATGACACAGTCTATGACTCCGTCCCTGTGAAATGTCTGGAACTAGCAAGTCCAAAGAGATAGAAAGGAGCCAGAGGTGCCAGGGGGTGCGGGGGGAGGGTGGGACTGATTGCTCAGGGGCATGGGATTTCTTTTGCGGGTGATGAAAATGTTCTAAAATTGACTGTAGTGATGAAGTGACAATCACACAACTCTGAACATGCTAAAAAAAATGGAATATACCCTCTCAAAATGTGACTTTTATGCCATGTAAATTATATCTCAAAGAAGTGGTTATTTTTTAAAAGGAAACAGAAAGAATTAACCCTAAGCACCAGCCCTACATCCAAAATTTAACATACCTGTTTAGGGCCTGTATTATCACCCCCTTTTACTTTAAAGTCCACGCCCTACCTCCTTAATTAAAAAAATGTTCCTAGTTAGAAGACCAGTGTTCAAACTTTATTGTTAAAGATAATATACTACTATTCCTATCATTGCCTCTTTAAATTCTGTGATTGTCACCCATTCCTATCTTTGCAGGGATACAGCTCGTCCATAAAAATTGAAAGACCTGCATTTGCTGGAATCTGGATAGCTCACAGCTTATGATTACTGACAAGCACCTTGCCTCGCTGCTGGCAAGCGTGAGGTGTCTGTATATAGTGGGACACCTGTCAGAAACCCAAACTGGAAGGGGAAAGAAAGCCCACACACCATAGGATACAGGGAAAAATGAAACAAGTCAGGAGAAAGGCAGGCAAATGAAAAGCCCTGCCAAGAATGGTTTCATTGTTTTGACTAAAGCAAACATTCAAATCACAATATCCAGGTTTTGTCAAACACAAAGCTTGCCACAGAGGCAGACAGAATTTAAAAAAATTTGTTACCATTTAATTTATCCATTATTGTGAGTCAAAGACTAAAAAGCTGATCAGCAGTTTGCTTTATAAATGGTAATTTCCAGGTAACAGATATTGCATCTCAACAGCCATTCATAAAATCCTATATACAGAAAGTGTCTAAAAAACATATTTCTTGTAATTTTTGGATGTGAGAAGGAAACATTCAAACAATATGTTGAGATCCTAAGATAAAATTAAAGGAAGTTAGATAATATTAACTAGCATTGACTCTTTCCTCTATTGCTGGTAGCACTTCCGTATAGGAGCTGACCTCCGTACCTCATTGCTGGTCCACCCGAAGCTGTCAGTGAGGTCTGCTGTGGACGCAGCTTCCTGGTCTAGGAGCAGAAGCTGAGCAAACAAGCGCTGTAACTGCAAAGGTATGACTCGAACCTGAATGAGAAACACACACACTTCTAAAGGGATTCTTAAGTGCTGATTGAGGCTTTTGAAAACAACTGCATACTAGTTTTTGCATATCTCCTAGTTCATACAGAAGACAGTTTATAAATATATTTCTTATGACACATAAATGGAGTACTGAGTATAATTCAGTTATTCTTTGGAAATTGTAATTCAATTCAAAAAGGTTTTTATATGTGGCGTTTTCTACCTTGACCTAGTTGAGATTACTGTTAAAGCTCAAATAGGTCCTAATAAACCACCCAATTGTTTACAGACTGACAATAGTTTGAATCTCTAACAGCTCATTCTTTCTCTCAGATATCTCTGATATACATAAATTCCCTCTGAAGAAAACTTCCAGGCAGTCTTGAGTTTTGACACTTTAGAAGGCCAGTCACCCCTGCCTCACTTTCGACAGGCCCATGCCTGTGTCTGTCTTAGTAGATGTGGTGAGGGCTGAGCCAGACTGAGCAATGGCCAGTAGAGTCTTGTCTGCAGGCCAGATTTTAGGGATTGGAAAAGAGAACAAGTATTTAGAAACTTTTATGGCAATCTGACATTCCTACTGCATTTTTATTATATACTACGCAAGTATTGGTCTGCAACAGATTGGGAATTAAAAAAATACACATAAGCCACACAGGTGGCTTGAGAAGCAGAGGGCTGGATCACAAATGATGCCTATTAGATTTGAGCCTGAAAGTGATAAGAAACTTCTGAGTTACTTTTAGCAGGTAGGAACATGATTACATCTGTACTTTAAATAAAATTCACCACAGTAACATATAAAATAATAAAACAATTCTTTACTCAATTTATTTACAGAGTACCAAATAGAAAGAAAACTAATCTTTCTTTTCAATTTTGGTATTGTTGCAAGATTTAAATGGATTTTTTTTTTTGATAGGCTGGTGTGGAAGATATGCGAACCTTTTCTTCATCAGAAGAAAAAATAAACAGTAGAGAGTAAGGTATTTTTATACTGCAGTAGCAGTATTACATTTGGAAAAGTAATATCATTTTCTGAAAATAAAAGCCATATTTTCCATTTTTTTTTATTTTTAAATCATAGCTATGTACATTAATGCAATCATGGGGTACAGTGTGGTGTTTTCATATACAATTTGAAATATTTTCATCAAACTGGTTACCATAGTCTTCATGTCATTTTCTTAGGGGGGAGAGGGAAAAGAAGGGAGGGGAGTGGATGGGTGGAGGGAGGGTGATTGGAGGGATCACCTCTATGGTTTCTCTTACAAGGGTACAAGTGAATCTTTCTAAAAGTAGAATAAAAGCCATATTTGACAATAAATAAGATTATTGTTTTCTATGAATAACTTAATCTTTCCTAAAAAAACATTGCCTCAGTACTCTAAAACATCCCAGTAAATCACAGATTTAATACCTTAGCATCAGGCTTATCCTTATCTTCGAACAAACCAAGCTCTTCTGGACCAAGAGAAAATAAAGCTTCTAAACAGAAAAGTAGAATCAGAGATGTAAATGACATTATTTCATTAAAAAAAATTGTTTTAGAAAACCAAGACCACAAGCGAAACCAATCAAAGATTCAGAAATATGACTGTGGCAATATTTACACCCCTATTCGCCACGCTCTACTTTCTTATAACATTTTTAACCACTGACTCTAAGAAAATGAAGTGGCATGCTAAAGTCTCAGTATGGATCTCTAAAAGGCAAATAATCTTTAATTTATATACAGAAAACTAAAAACAGTAACATCAGAAATCTTTAATGGTTTCTCATTGCCTGTGGCCAAAAGCCATGAGGAATCTTAGGAAATATAGTAGTGAACCTGGAACCTACAAGTTAAAGCACAAAACTATACAAGAACTTCTGTAGTCACCTCCTCTTACTCTCAGCTACATGGTGCCAGGCCTACTCCATTGTACTAGCCCTATTCTTTAAAATACTTCCCTAAACTTTTTCTTCCCCAGTTCTCAGCCCTCCTTACCCTTTCCAAATTAAATCTCCCCCCCATCAGCATCAGGATCCATGTTGAGCCACATGAGGAGTGCACACGCCACACCAAAATGTCAAACCACAAATCTCCCCACCTCAGCATCAGGATCCATGCTAAGCCACACAAGGAGTGCATACTCCACTCCAAATGTCAAACCACATCTGTGGCCAGTGATTCCCCTTTGCTGGAGAGGAAGGTGGCCTGGGGCTCTTGGTCCTACGCTTGCCTAGTGGCACTTTCCACTGCCTCACCTCTTCCTCAGTCTCTTTGAGGTTACTTCTCTACTTCAAGTTGAACCTCGAAGTTGACCACCTCCCTACACTGACCACCTCCTTAAATTGATCTAATTTTCACAGACTGGACATGCACTGCTTGTATGTTTCAGTACAGTGGGCCTAGTGCCTTATGTTGACCAGTTTGTTAAAGTCAACTTAAGCGGTCAACTTATAGAGGTTCTACTGAATGTTAAAACCTGGAAAAATTTTATCCCTTTTAGGAACCTGTGTATTAATGCTGAAAATTTCTAATGGTGGAATTACTGACTACATCAGGAAGATACTTTTATGGAGGGAACAGAGTCAAGGACAAGCGGCACCACTCTTAAATCCGACATGCAGTCCAGTCCATTAGAATGGCCCTGGGAAGAGGACAGTGGTATTTACTGAATCTCTGAAGGCAGGAAGTCTTTCAAGCTTTGATGCAAATAGAAGACATCACAAAGATTAGATGAATTTAGTGATGGGAAGGGAACATGGCAATCCAGATGCAGGAAGAATCAAATTGCCTGTCCTCAGAGCATGGAGACATGTGGAAAGTTGAGCTACAAAGCCATGTAGTGCTGGGGTTCCCAGTCAGGGCCATGTGAAGGCAAAGTAATGTTCACACTGAGATCAAGGGAACACAGATACTAAGAGTCTTAAGGATACAGCTGGTTTGCAGAGATGGGAATGGAACAAACACATAGAGAAAAACTGGGACAAGAAATCAAGGGTCCATATGAGGTCAAGCTGGCTTCTTGCAATTTGTTTCTGGGAGGTCCCCCCATATTCTTACAATAATCCCCCTTTTTAATGTAGCTAATTTGAGTGGTTTCTGTTCCTTGCAAACAATCCCTTACCAAGACCCTACCTTGGGTCTTTGGAATTCAGAATTTCCACATTTTAGAAAAAAGGATTATGTACATTACATTATATTCCCAGCAGGGTCTGGGACATACTACCCATTAACCAAGCAGATTAATATTCCTGTGATAAATGCATAAATAATCATACAAGTGAGAAAACTAGAGACTAACTAGCCTTATACCAGATCAGGTTCTAAAGCCACAGGAGTTCAGGTTAGATCAGATTAGATGAAAGTGAAAGCTTCTCTTTCTTTCTTCTATTTTTTTTTTTTTCAGTTTTTTAGCCAGGGCCAGGTTTCAACCCACCACCTCCAGTACATGCGGCTGGTGCCCTACTCCTTTGAGCCACAGGCACTGCCCCCAAATGACAGCTTTTTAGATTTCAGGAACACAGATGAACAGCAAGTGGACCCCTGTAAGTAATGTAAAAGCCCTCCAGCTCCAAAAGGCAGATAAAATTGCTTAGCTTATAAACTCTGGCTTAAGGGTTTGTTATTTTGGAAAAGTTTAAAACACAAAAATACAAATAGTATAGCAACAATGAAAGCCTATACTTATGACAGAATTATCTTTACATTGCATTTCAAATTGAATTAGAAAAGAAATATATTACCTTGTTTTTTGTTACTAAATATTATAATTGCACTGAAAATATTTAAGATAATTTAAGCTTCAAATTTCCCTGTAGAGACAATTACCAATTTATATCTCACATTTGTAACAATAAACACATACTGTGCAAAACATCTTTAAGATACTTTATTTGTGATTTTGCATAATTAATTACATGTAAAGATGATAGTACATAATATGGATCAAATGAATGTAACATAGCATACCTCTGAATTCAGGGGTGAAATGAAGTGTCTGAAGAAGGGAATTGAGGTAACAGGTTCCACCCTGATTTCTGATTCCGCTTAAATTGGTGAATTCTCTAGGAGCAGGTGGCTCCAAAACTTTAGTCTTTAATTTTTTCCCTTTTCCATACTGATTATTTGACACATTGGAATAATCCTCTTCAAATAGGTCCCCAAACATTGTGAAACTAAATTCTACCCTTAAAAAAAAATGACATGTTACATAAATGATGTTATTTTTTTAAATAAAATTTTCCCAAATCTCTCTACCTTACACGTGGGTAAGATAGATATTTTGTCAAGTCATTCAATAGAAAGTATGTACAGTTGCTCGGGTTTTGGGGGTGATAAGATCTGCATTTTTTTCCAATCCCAGTCATGATCTTAACTATCTGTGTGCTAAAATTTTCTTATGTATAAAATGGGATACCACTTGGCCCCTAGGGTCCTTTTAACAGTCAAATGACATAATGAAAGAAAGGCACTTAGAGCACAGGGTTTCGCCCACAAAAAATGACAGCTGTTTCTTTAAAAGGCACATTTACATCACTAATTAGAACACACATCAACATGCCTAATTCACTACTGGGTTGGCAAAGCCAATCCTAGTTTCCAAGAGTTGACCGGGGCCTTGGGTCCGTCACTCTCTCAATAAAATCTCTGCTTCTTGCACTCCGCGGTACACGATCACTCACTGAAATCTCTGCTTTTCACATCCCTCGGTACCTTGTGCCAGATTATGACATTTAAATTAATTAAATGATCTTCCTGATAGTTTAGTACGTAGTTCTAAAGCTGGAAGGCTGGGAGGATCACTGGGGGAGAGGGAGAGACTGCAATTAAAATTATCGATCCCGCTAATACTCTCACTAATCCAAACATCAGCCCCAGGAACACAGATCACAGACTCAAGATTTCATATCCAAGGTAGTGGAAGGTTACTTGGAGAGAAGAAATGTAAAGTGGCCAGCACAGTTTCTAATTGACAGGAAGCGCTGAAATACTGTTGTTTTTTTTTCCTTTTTAACTCACTCCTCAGAAGAAAAGCAGCGAAAATGAAACTGACAGTCTAGCCTCGCGCTCCTCACCCGGATTTCCCTAATCCTCCTTTCCAAGGCCTAGGCCGGTGCCCAGCCCTCCGCGCCACCACCCGGCCCAGAGGCACGACGAGGCAGAGACCTCCGCGGCCGGAGACCACTGACCCAACCTCAGAAAAGCGCCGTGTCCCCAGACAGGCCTGGGCCACCCCTGCCTCGCCTTCCTTAGGCTGTGCCGCCAACAACATCCCCACGCTTCCCATGACCCCTCGGAATTCCCAGCGGCCAGCCCCACTTACTGCCTAGAGCCCAGACCCCGGCCCCGGCCAAAACGCGCAGCTGATGAACCCGCCCCAACTGGGCGCCGCCATGTTGGCAAGGGCGGGTCTTCGGAATGTGATTTACGCAGCGCGGACTACGCCTCCCAGCGTGCCCCGCGGGAGCGCGGGCCGGGCGCGAAGGGTCTTATGGGCAATGGAGTTTCTCTTCCTGGAGAGTTGGGAAGTTGGGCCCCGGGGGCTGCGCTAGCTCCCAGATGTGCTCCTGCGTTCGAGGGTCTGTGCTGCCCGCTGAATACTCATTCATTTACGTTTTGTAAGTTTGCATTTATTGCTCTCCATAATCCATACTGGCTGCAGTAGGGTATACGAAGATCCCTTGCCTTTTGGCAAGTTGTCAAGTTACCTGAACATGGGAAACAATTGTGTAGTGCTTAGAGACAGTTTACAAGTGCACCTTCACTGCAGACTGTAAAGAGTGTTCCTCATTCCCCGAACTTTTGTAACATCTTCAATGTTTATTTGGTCTCCACTAACCGTAAGTAGCATGCGTAAGAGTACGCTGAAAATATCTCAAAATTATCCTCTTTCCCACTTGAGCGCCATAGGTGACCTATTTCAATAGCCTACTTCTGTTACCATCCCTGTACAATCCAGCTTCCACGCAAGAGTGAATGAGGGAGCCAAGGAGAAAATAATTTTGACTTCAGCTAAAAGTTTGAGAGATTGAGAACAGGGATAGTGATAGATAAAGCAGGAAAGGCAGGAGCGAAAGTGAAAGCCAAACCAAGGAATTTGTATTTGGAGCATTTGACGCAGATTTGTGTGGCAGGGAGGTCCGGGAATTGTTGATAGGGAAAGAACTGGAGGTAGAGAACTATCTAGGAGGCAAAATGTCTACACTAGGAAATTTCAGTGGGAATAGCCTTCTTCACTTCTCATCAGGCTTGACTGCCTCATTGCTTCTCAGAAGCCTCCTCTATGTGCCTTTCCTCCCTGGCTCCATGTTATTCTACCCTCTGTTTCTCCTCTGCTCCTGTGCTTCGTCCTCCCTCTTGCTAATAGCAGATATTCCTCAAACCAAATTCCTTTCCCTGACCAAGAATGACACTGGAAGATTAAGCTCCACAAGGACATGGCTTTGCCTTGTTTATAGCTGTATTCCTGACAACATCAACAGTGCCCAGCCTACCACCACAGGATTATTAATGTTTATGGAATGAATGGATGAGTTCTTAACACCACCATACTTTCTCTCATCAGAATCAAAGTCTTGGAGCTATATTTGCGACTTCGTCTTTTGTCTGTGAATCTAACTAGTTGCTCAAAAGTATTTCCTGAGCAATGTTCTTCCATTTCCACAGTACCTCTCCTCCTATCAGACCCTCTCCTGAGGGTCTCTCCTGTGTTACGATGATAGCCCTTTAAGTGGAGTTACATGTTGCCCATCCAATCCTGCACATCACTCAATTCAAAATTCTCTGCCAAAGAAGCTTCAGTGATTCCTCATCATCCACTGTAAAAATGCTTCCTTTTGATGCTTTTAGTTCACTTGTGGTCCCAACACTTTTTTCCTACTGTATTTCTCAGTACTCACCTATTCTCCAGCAAAACATTTCCAAGTGTGCCATATGCCTTCCTGCCTCTATGAAAATTTTGTTTTTTGAGGTGGAGTCTCACCCAGGCTGGAGTGTAGTGGCGTCATTATAGCTCACTAAAACCTCAAACTCCTGGGCTAAAGCAATCCTCCTGCCTCAGCCTCCTAGGTATCTGGGACTATGGGCACACATCAATATACCCAGATAATTTTTCTGTTATTTTGCAGACATGGGGTTCTTGCTCTTGCTCAAGCTGGTCTTGAATTCCTGAACTCAAGTGATCCTCCTGCCTTAGCTTCCTAGAGAGCTAGAATTACATGTGTGAGCCATCGTGCCTCACCCAGGCCTTTGTGATCTTACTCATGTTGTCCCCTCTGCAAAGGATGTCCATCATCTCAGATCTTCCCTTTAATCCTATTTAGCATAAAAGCCAAGCACAAGTTCCAATTTATTGATAAATATTTCAAGATCTCCCTAAATAAGATATGATCTTTTCTTTTGTAAGCCTTCAGGATAAAATGTACCTCTCCTAGAGCCCCTGTCTCATGGCAAAGTCATATCTGATCATTTTGTTAGTATTACCAAGTCAGAGGTTATACCTCATCTGCCATGTAGCCTCTATAGCAGTTAACAATAATTTAGAGTACAATTTTAAATCTTTTATTTAATTTGTTCCACAGGAAATTAGAGTTGAAGCTATAAAGCTGTTGACCAGACTTTGTACCCATGGAGGTTTCAACCAAGCATTCCCACCATGTAAGAATGGTGGCTACAGGGCAGATAAGGTATATTAATTCAGAAATATTAATAATACTTTTTAAAAGTTGTGAGCATTTACTGTGTGCCAGGCAGATGCAAAGGGTTTTCAAGTGCATTTTATTTCATTCTCAAAAGGACCCCACAAGTTGGGAACTGAAATTATTCTCATTTTGCAGATGAGTACATATTGAGAGATAAATAATTTTTACAAGATTACACAGCAAATAAGCCTTAGAAATGAGATCTGAGTTCTGGCCACTGACTCCAGGATCTGCATTCTTAACCACTATTTCCATCCTTCTCAAAGCCAAGCAACTGTCTGCCTATGATCCTTCCCCTTGCCCTTCCTTCCTTCCTTTCTTTGATTCTACAATTTTTTTGAGCACTTCTCATGTGTCTGCCACTGTGGCATTACAAAGAGTGAGACAGATTGTGGCCAACACTGCTACCTTCCTACCCAATCTGCTTCTCTCCTTCTTCCTTACTAGCAGACCACCAATTTTATAGGGTGTACAAACTCCCATTCAGCTCAGGGTGATCATGTGAAACAATAGCTAACAGGCACCATTGTTAGTGCTTTTACACATAGGAACTCATTTAATTAAATGCTTTCAACAACCTTGTGAAGTAGATGCTATTAAAAGTAGAAGCATTGGGTAAGGCTTCTGGGAAAGTTCTTCACAAGAAAACACTGGTTGTTTTGCCCTTTTCTCTGACTTCTTTTCCACCTGAGATGTAGACATGATGGCTGGAACTCTGGCAACCATTTAGAACAAGAGGATGCAGATTGCTCTATAAATATTGAAGGAACTTAGACTCCTGATGGCATCGGACAACTGATGTGCCAGGCCCAGAGTATCTATCTCCTGATATTTTTTTCCTGCAAGATAAAAAGAATTCTTTCATTGAAGTCACCAATGGGGTCTCTTTTGATTGAGTATTCATAGATGAATACAGTTCCTAAGTGGGACACAAGCACTGCCCTTGAGGAGCTCAAAGTGGATAGAGAAAAGAGAAATATAAAAAGTTAAAATACAATGAGGTAGGTATTATCTTTTCTTTGCGTGCATAATTTGTATATGAGGGCTATTTTTTTTGAATCATGGAAAATGGTTATTATAAGAAAAACTATGCAGGAATTGTCCCAAAGAAACTCATAGTAACTTGTTATAACGTGTTTGAACAGGATCTAGTTTGTGGCACTAAGAGGGATAAGACATCAGTTTGAACAGAACCCCTATCAAATTACTATGAATTCTGCTAAATTGAAGCAAGAACAAACAGCAAATTTATGGTAAAGCTTGGGTTAGAGAATGATGAAATCATTGATGCTTTATGAATATTTATAGGGACAGTGCCCCCAAATAAACGAGCAGTTTACAAATGCATAACTCACATTAAGAAGGGATGAGACCGTGTAGAAGATGAACCTGCAGCAGCAGACCATCCACATCAATTTTCAAGGAAAAATTAATCCTGTTCTTGCCCTAATTAAAGAGAGCCAACAGTTAACAGCAGAAGCAATAGCCAACACCATAGACATCTCAACCGATTCAGCTTACACAATTCTGACTGAAAAGTTGAAGTTGAGAAAACTTTCCAATTAATGGTTGTCAAAACGGTTTTGTTTTCTTCTTTTTTAGAACCATTATCTTCCTGACGGATGGCTGCCAAAACTGTTGTTCCCAGATTGGCTGCACACAAGAGCAGAGTTTTTGGGAAATTTTAAATAAGAGTGATCAAAATCCTGAAGCTATTCTTGGAAGACTTATGACAGGAGTTGAAACAGCTTTATCAGTAGAATCCTGAAGGTAAACTGCAATCAAAGCAATGGTGACCAAGAAGTAGAAGTGGCCAGTCAAAGCAAAAGTGCAAAGAGCAAAGGTTATGGCAACAATTTTGTGGGGGGTTGTTCAAGGCATTTCTGAAGGATCAAAGAAGAATAATATCTGTTTATTATGAACATGTTTTGAGGCTCAGCGCCTGTAGCTCAAGTGGCTAAGGCACTAGCCACATACATCAGAGCTCGCGGGTTCCAATTCAGCCCAGGCCTGTCAAACAACAATGACAACTGCAGCCAAAAAATAGCCAGGTGTTGTGATAGGCACCTGTAGTCCCAGCTACTTGGGAGGCTGAGGGAAGAGAATTGCTTAAGCCCAGGAGTTGGAGGTTGCTGTGAGCTGTGGTGCCACAGCACTTTACCCAGGGCAACAGCTTGAGGCTCTATCTCCAAAAAAAAATGTTTTGAGACAGTTAGCCAAACCTTTAACAGAAAAACACCCAGGATAGTTCTGCCAGAGAATCTTTCTCCACTACAATGCTTCTGCTCATTGTTCTCATTAAACAAGGATGATTTTGTGAGCGTTTTGGTGGGAATTCACTAGGCATCCATCTTACAGAACTGATTTAGCTCCCTCTGACTTCTGTTGATTTCTCATCTTTAAAAAATGTCTGGGTTCGGCACTCGTAGTGTAGTGGTTACTGCACCAGCCACATACACCGAGGTGGGCGAGTTCAAACCCAGCCCTGGCCGGCCAAACAATGACAACTGCAACAGAAAAATACCTGGGTGTTGTGGTGGGCACCTGTAGTCCCAGCTACTTGGGAGGCTGAGGCAAGAGAATTTCTCAAGCCCAAGAATTGGAGGTTGCTGTGAGCTGTGACCTCTAATG